TAAAAGCGTTCCTGAGGAGCGGAGTGAGATTGTATTTACTCATATTCTCGTTACATACAAACCATGAATGTATGACGAAAACGTTTGTGCCAAGGGTAGTCAAATGATTTTAAACGCAAGCCAAAATGTCTTTTTTAGTGAATCCTGCGGGCAAGGCCGTGACGATGTTTTGTGGTAGGACGCGACGAGGAGAAAGAAAAAAAAAAAAAAAAACTCCCTGGTGGAAGTTAACATTACAATTGCATTAGAAACATTACAATTTTGAAAAAATTACAAATACGCAAAAAAACTTGATCTATTCCTATAGGTCATCAGATGACTGACATGTACACTGTCTCATTTTCAAATAAAAATTTAGAAGTGAAACGTTCTTTCTCTGGGCTCTTTTTTTTTCTGATCAGTCTTATTGTCTGAACAATATCCATACGTCATTGTTTAATTTCTAAATTAAAGCTGCTAGAAATGATACGGCTATATTCTTCGGCGGATGGACATGTTTTGTAGAATATATAAGCTTTTGAATTTAAGCTATTATAGCCATACCTTTATATGGGCTTATATACTGTAACAATAGGTGTGCACTCATGTTGCAAATTTCGCCAGTTTGCGTACAAAATCGGGTAGGAAAGAGAAGAAAATGTCATTACACAGGATTTCATGACGTGTTTGGTTAAAATTAATTAAATTAAAAGAGACGCACCCGGCTCGCTGGTCAATGCAGTCAGAATACTGATTCCGGGATTCGTAACCCGAATCGAGCTATTAAATCAGCGGGTCTTAACGTGCTTGGTTCCACAGCAGAGGGAAAACATTATATTAGGTTGGTTGGTTGATGTCATTACGGCAAAGCCTCGAGGGCTATTTGCCTAAGGGAAGAAATGCCTTCGTGGAGGACTTTTTAAGGGAAACTGGCTCGTATGCACGTTACACACGGCCCAAGGCCCAAGGCGATATTTTCCGGAGTACCTTTGCAACTTAATGCAATTACCTCCACAACTTCGTTAAGGAAAACTGAGGTGATTAAGACAAAGCACTGGCTGAAGAGTAATGAAGGAGACCATTATGGGCTTACGGGGAAGGAAGTGAATAAGGAGTCCATTCTATGGACGATAAATTCTTTCTGCTTTCAACCTGTTTTACTAGGTTGAAAGAGAGAGAGGTGACGGATAAGGGCAGATTCCTGAATGCGTTGCATTAATGGAATCGCAAAGATTGAAAGACAATTAGCCGGGAATCATAATTTTCCAGGGCTCGGGAAAGGTATATTAGGTAATACGGAAAACCGCAGTAATCGCTAATGCCTTGGGGATGGGCTGGGGGGGGAGAGAGTCTTACGACTAAAGCAGAGCAGGGGAAGGTGGAACGAAAAGAAGGGGGGAAAGGATTCAAGAGTAGGAAAAGTTCTCCTACCGCCCGTGGCGAGAGTACAATAGGAGCAACTTTTGGAGCGGAAAGAACCGTGAGAGAAAGTTAACTGTAGAAAAGACGGAGAAGTTTTAGGGTAGTTAAAGGGAAAGGAATTAAAGAAAAACGTTAAAAATTGGAGAGGAGAGGTGGATTAAAAAGTGGAAAGAAATAAAAAATGGGGACAGAATTGACCAAAAATACCTGATTGCTGTTGATGTTTGAAGATATGCAAGCTTGTACATGTGCAGATTGCTGGAACAAAAATACATTAATAAACGTTACACACGGGGAAAACCAAGAAAACGCCCATGCAGCCAGTCCGTTCGTAGGGGATTCGAACCTCGGACCAAACTACCAGTGTTCAGCGACTTTACCGCTCGCCACACTGCAATAAGAGAACACAAAAGTTTACACTACGTACTCGTACTAAAACGAATATTGATTTCCTTAAAGGAATTTTTAGATAATATTGTAAAAATTACAACTTTTATTAAATCCAGAGAATTAAATGTAAGATACTTTACATAGTTATGCGATAACTTATCTAGTAATTGTAACATCTTGCTTTTATATTCAAAAGTGTCATGGTTGTTTCGAAGAAACATCTCGAGCCGTTTTTTGAATTAAAAGACTTAACTGGGATTTTTTGAAACGATTGCGTAACATAATTTATATGATCCAAAATTTTATCATGAAATGTGACGGTAATTTATGGCCTATTTAGCAGACATAATTGCCATTTTGAAATAGTGTTAGTGCACACTGACCTTTAAAAAAACTGAAGGTTATCAATACCATCAAAGTAACCAATTCACAATTTTTAGAAAACTGAATAGTTTTCTAGCTGAGAATGTCTTAGATTTGGATGATAACTGCTAAGAAATGTGTATTGGAACGCATTTCTCACTTGAAAAAACTATTGAAGAGTACACTTCAGAGGTACTGAACGTATGAATGTATTAAAAACTTTATTTCGATAATCAGAAGGCTTGTCAATAAAGATGTGGTGTATTTAATTATGGCAAAGCACAACTAGGGCTATCTGCCTAAGGGAAGGGATGCCTTCGTGGAGGACTTTCTAAGGGAAACTGGCTCGTATACACGTTGCACATGGGGAAAACCACGAAATCACCCATGCAGCCAGCCCGTTCGCGGGATTCGAACCTCGGACCGAACTACCAGTGTTCAGCGACTTTACCGCTCGGCCGCTGGTGGGCCCTTGTCAATAAAGGAGATTAATCGTTATCTTATTAGAATCAGTATTAAAAATAAATTCTAGCAAGAACCACTACTAAATTTTTGGTTACAAATTCATGTAGGATAGGGGGAAATTTCTTACATGGGTATAAAATATTAATTTCTTTACTATAACTTACCTGAGCGAAAAATTATTTTCAAAGTATGTAGCTACAAAAACAAGATACAGAAACAGATTGTTTACTATGTGAAATGCGCTTACAGGGAGCTATAACAAAGCTATATTTTACTATTAATACACATTTTTGTAAATTTATTTACAATTTAATTTTTATGCACTTCTAATTTGTTACATATTTGTTTTTCCAGTTTTTCGTTACTTACTGAGTGTATTTTCTACAACGACTTGATGTTTATTTATTGTGTATTTTATTTAATTTTAAATCTGCGGTCTTTCCTTCTGCTTTTCAGAGTTTGTTTCGTGTATTATGTTGTATATCTTTTAATTCTGAGTCGACTGGCATTGGAACCAGGGCCGAATGGACTTTTAGACGCCCAAAGCACTTAAAAATTTTGATTGCCCCACATATATTTACACAAATTTTCTCCCCATTCTTTCACTCTGGGTCTTTTTAATTACACGATACATTTTTATTATTATTATTATGGCGTCGCACACAATGGTATTCGACAAACAGAGGGGATGCCCTGGGGAGGACAAAGGGGAAAAGTGTGTCATACCCACGTTAAACATAAGAAAAACCACGAAACGCCCATGCAGCCAACCTCTTCGCCAGAATTCGAACCTAGGCCCGAACTACCAGTGTTTAGCGAACTTTACCGTTCGGCTGCTGGTGGGCTGCACCATTCTATTGTAAAACTGGAAATGAGAAATTTTTGTGGTACCCCTTGAGTCCTTAACGACATTTTTATTGTGGCCACTTTCTTTGACGCCCTAAGCACGTGGTTATTTTCCTTAATGGTTAATCCAGCTTTGATTGGACTCGCAAAGACAACTCAAACAGAACCGAAGATAGAACCAGAAACGCTCTTACCGTGCCTTAAGAACAATTTTTGTTGCCAAGTTAACGATATTTAAAGATACCTCACCGATTTAGTAACATTTTTTTTTTTTTTTTTTTTTTTTTTTTTTTTACGCGTTTACGAAGCCTTAAGTGCGAATGAAGCTTTCAGAAGCGTTTACCGCCCCCTTGAGCAAACTTATAAACAGAAGGCTGTAAGCGGTGAATAGCAGAGATTGATGGAGCCTCTCTGAGCTTCTGTTTCTAAAGTGCTATCGTTTACCGCCTGATGAGTTCACTCTCATTCTGAGGAATAGGCCTTCATGCATTATCATCATTCTGTTCGTTTATAAAATCACATCAGTTCCCGCAGATTAATTTGTGCCAGCGAGAGTAGGTATGATGAGGAAGACTATTAATTTGTTGATCGCTTATTTGCTTTTTTCTTTAGTGTTGTATTGTAAGTAATAACAATAATAATATATAAATAAAAAAATTATACTCAAAAAGTACCAAAAAACCTTAAAAAATTTTTGTTAATATATTATCTTCTCACTATAAACTTTCTTGAGTCCCTCTAGTTTTTTCCATCAGATTCTGTTATGTTTATTTACTAATTCTACTCACTAACTATTATTTTATCAAATGGAGAGAGATGGCTCCTAACTATGGGTACTCCGACAGAAATAATTCATGGTCCTTGATCATCAGAGAATGGATTGGCCGGTTTTTACACAGTGTACCAACCAACCAAATACGAGTATACGAAGTAGGCAGACGCAAAGTGTTTGAAAGCTTAAAAGGGCACTTGGATATTCTGCTGAACTCGATTTATATGTTTAAATTTATAGAAAACGACTGGTATATTTGCTTGCATAAAACATACATATATGTGTGTGTGTGTGTGTGTGTGCGAGAAATAATTTAGGATGTGTGTGAGAAGGCACAAACACTTTTAATAATGGCCGAAGGCTGTAGATGGTGGTGCTGGTATACAGAATGGTAACTGCATAGAATGGAACCCTAATCTTCTTTCGTTTCAGCCCCTTAAACTTTTAGCTTTCGATTCACATTCGTTTTTAAGTAGTTCCAAATAGTCAGCATGAAGATCTGCATAGAAATAAAGATGCAAAAATGTCAGCTGAAAGTAAATTCGAACACGAAGCAAGTTGCATATTGTTATTCTAATTACTCGCAACACAAGAACTTTCAAGTCGTCACTGATAAAGGATATTAGTCAGAGCTGTAGCAAGAGTGTTCATAGCCCAGGGACAACTGAAGATTTTTCGCCCCTTTCTGTGTGCCAAGAATGGAAAACATTTCATTCTAAAATTTAGTAACATCAGTTTGGCGCCTCCTGGATGCTGCGCCCGGAGTCAGATGTCCCCCTCCCTTGCCTCACCCTAGTTACACCGCTGCTCTCAGTGATTCTGCAATTGATAGTTTGACGATCAAGCTTATTGGTAAAGCAATTTCCAAGATTCTGGAGGCAAGCTTGTGACAAGGATTGCAAAAACGAAAGGATCTGGCATCAGAATCCTCTGTAATTCGTTAGATATGCCAGTAAAGAAAGTCCAAGAAATATTTTTGCATTAATGCCTGATGTCAAATGTTTTCTCATAACCAATAGGAGAAAGATTGTTTAGGGTGAAGATCAATAATAATGCTCCCAAGGACTTGTTGACTACACCTTGTAAGAATCCTAAGTTTTACTAACGTTTATTTTATTTTAAAACTGTACTATCACTTCTTATTTTCTACTTCCGGTCAGAATTAAATGCTTTAACTTGTTTATGCAAATTGTCTTGCTAACGCCCAAGTATTTAAGTTGTGGCTTTTTGCCAAGAGTTAGGGAGAGAGAAGGAGTTTTTAGGAAGCAAGCCGCTTGCCACTGCACTTTTGCGAGTTTTCACTCGGTTGCCTTTAAGGCCAGAGGTTTAGCCCAGTGGCGTAACTAGAATTCTTGGGCCCCCTATGCAAAAAAATCTCCTGGCTCCCTTCCCAATAAATGTAATGTGCATAAAAAAATTGAAAAAAAATTTTTTTTTAAGTGAAAAGTTTAAAAAAAAAATCGATTATTCCAGGAGCCTATGTTTTCATGATTTTTATCACATCTGGATTAATTGTTAAAAAATAAAAGCACGTTCTTAGGGAACCAGTTGAAAGGTACGTAATATGAAGAAAGAATAAAAAGGAAGATATTTTCCCTTGGCCAACTGGTTAAATGCATATTTGCTTCAGTCTGGGTATTTAACGTCAGATGATTTTAATTCAGTTATTTAAGACTTTTTGTGTGAGTGCGAGAGACAGATTTTTCTCTCCTTTCACTGAAATACATACTGATAATAAATGAATAAGTCTACATGTCCACGTAAAGTATAGCATTAAGAAAAGGAAAAAAGCCTAGATTTGCGGAAATTTTTATATAAAATCCAAGAAGTTCGTTATATGTTTTAAATTTTTATATAAAATCTGCACCCATCTAAGTTTTTTCGCTTCATTTAGCAAACTTATAAATAATTGGTTGTATTATAAACTGACAGACAATATAATTGATAAACGTACAGAAAAGATATTACATTAATATATAGAACTCTGTGATTTACTCAGCTTACGAACATGATTTATGCAATAATATATAAGTACCAAATAAGAACTTTTACATTGTAAATGATACATTTGTTAAATATAAAACATATTTATCATAAACTTCAAAAAGAAAACCGTTTGAATATACAATTTTTGTAGAAAATATGTAAAATTTTTTCTGTCTTTTTAAAAATCCTTTTGGTACACTAAACTACTTGAATACATGATTTTTATAAAAAAATATGAATGCTAATTTTTTTCCTGTTTCCTTTTAATTTTCTCTCAGCCCGTACTGCTCTTCTTCTCTAATTCCCCCTCCCAATAAGTGTAATTATAACATTGGTGGCTAAAATTCATCATAAAGATTTCTCATCATTGGATCAAAGATCATTGGATTTCTGTTCTGAAAGTATTTATAAATAATAAAAGTTGTGCTTCCAGTGCATTAGCAAAGTCTTCTTTATATGTTTTCTGTTTTTTTTAAACATTATTAATAATTTCCGTATTTGTTAACGATGACAGTGTTTTAGGTTCCAGAAATGAAAACATCATTGCGATTATTGTCATTCCAGTCATTCTGTACTTCAACTGAGAATTTAAAATGTCGAGAGCAGCATAGAAAACAGTTACTTTAAAAGACATTTCGGAATTTTCAAGCCTGTTATCCTCACATAACTCATCAAATTTTTGTCTTTATTTTTATTTTATTTTCCAAATTTAGTTTCTATGCCCCATTTATTTGCAATAAACTCAGCTTCTTTCATAATGTCTTCAAGACTTGTTTCTCATATCTTGCATATTAATAGAAACGCTTTTTAGATGTTGATGAGTTCCATTCAAGTCGATTGATTTTCGATTGTCGAGTTCGATTGATTGATTGATCGATACTACAGCTATAGCGCAGGACATGTGTTTAAAACAATTTTGTTTTTAACTTTTGGCCTGTTATTATGTTTCTTAATGTATGGAAACATATATTATATTTATATTCCATATTTATCATCAAAATATTTCATGTTAATATAACAATACGTTATTAATATTAGTAGACATTTGAATTGTTAATGGTGATAAGTTTGGATTTTCAAATAAATGGATTAAAAGTTTAGCTGAATTGAATTTTTAAATTATAAGAATTTAGTTTGTGTAATATTACAAATCAATAACTTACCTTTATAATGAAGAATTATATTTGAGATCGCGTTTAATTTTAAAGAAAAACTTCTGTTCGTTCTCGTCACAGACTAGAGAAATGGCATTAGAATAAGAGCAAGTTTGTTTAAGTTCAGTTTACTGTTCTGAGTCATCAGCCAATTACAAGTATACTTGAGGGGTAGCGTTTCACATTTCAACACAGCTGTGTAGCGAAGAAAGGGACCCCGTCTCCATTATAAATTTCCAGTGTCTTCCCAAGTTGAGTCATAGTAAAACTTTCATCCAAGATTTCACTGTAAAGATGTCCACTTCTCTTTTAAAACGTTATAACATCTTTTTTTTTTTTTTTTTTTTTTTTTTCAGTTAAATTGTACTATTATTATTGTCATATTCCAAAGATACATAATACATGACCTGCAATATCTTTCTACATTTTCTCTGTACTATAAATGCATTTCAGTTAATGCATAATTATTAAATACTTTGACAATAAAAATTGTAGATGTTCGAATATTTTTAGGAAATTCTTCACAAGTTTACGATGAAATCATAAACAGGTAGAAACAAATTTTATTGATATGTATCCAAAGAGCTTTGAAAATGACTGTGTAATACGAAGTGGAAATTTTAAAATTAAACACATTGGTATGAGGATTTATCTAAATTTAGATACCCACTATAGCAGAATATGACGATTCCCTTCTAAGTTTCAATTTCCCAGAAATGTTTAATAATTTGTAATTAAGCTTATCGACACTAACGTATATTTGAGGATGAGTACTCACACTCTGTGGCGTGGTTTCTAAAAGTAGTACACATAAATACTTGTTTAGGAAACAAGTACAATGTTTCTTCATAATTAGTTAAAATAAAGTTGTATGAAACAAGCTTTGCGCACTTCGTAGAGAAATGCGCAAAACTTCATTTAATGAAAATAGGTTTGTTGTACCCCAGATGGATCAAAAAGCAAAAATCAGTTAGGAAAAGCGGATATATTTTAGGAGCATTAATATTTATGATTACTATTATCTGTTTTATTTGCATCTTGGAAAGCTATTTATGTCTCAGAAATTAACGACCTCAGATGTCCAGTTTTTACATTGTTTATAAATTAAGTAGTATCAATTTTTATCTATCTATCATTAATTTATTAATGATAAAAATATAAAATAAATATAATGTATGGGAACATATATTAATGGAAGCTATTTATGTCTTAGAAAAGTAATGCTGTGATGCTGAAATAAAAGATAATAATGTACAAAGGGATTTTATGAGTGAAAATCGCATCATTTACTATTAAAACGTATTAATTAAATTTTTTGACTTGCGAAAATTATTGAAATATTGGAATAACGGGGGAGAATTCTTTTCAGAAATATTCCATTTGTTTGTGTGGTGAAGATAGCAATGTAATTCGCGTTCTTTCAAAGAACGCGAATTAAATTGCTATCGCGAATTACATCTATGTTCTTTCAAATGCAACTTAAAACTATTAGGGCAACGCTGCCATTGATATGTTTAATATTTTCGGTAATTAATTTATCAACATTTACGAGAAGTAGCACTACTTTTAGTTGTGAGTGATGCCATTTTTGTTTGTCATTATTATATTATTATTGACGGTTTCACGTACTGAGTGCTCTGGAAAGTAAATTAAAAGCAAAAGCAAAGCAAATTGTAAAATTTCCTTTCAAATAACGATTAGAAAGGCGTTCTTGCCCTTAGGCAAATAGTCCTCGAGTGCTTTATTATTATATAATAATTCAATTTCGTTAAAATAACGTATAAGTTATTGCGCATTACTGAATTATGCGCTTAAATGTTTCACGTTGTTAAAATGAATTGTAATTTATTGTATTTTTTCAAACGAAGGGAAATTAATATATTACTTTCGAAACAAATTTAATGTCTTCAGAGTTATCTTTTACAGATAAGTGTGAATTTTTGGTAGATGGGTAATTTTACAGGTTAAGAAACACCACAGCTCTTCTCTTTTCTAAAGCAAGTCAAGTAAATCCTCCAAGCATTAAAATATGCTTAGTAAGTAAGATATAGTTTACGAGTTACGAGTGTGTGTCTTCAGATTTCATTCTCGATAAGGGATTTTAAAGAATTCCTAACCTGCATTTTATCTGCAATGTGAAAGTATTTTGAAAATTTTGATATGAAAAATTCGATAAATATTTGATTTACTCATTAATTTCAAGTAAAAATATTTCATCCATTACATTCCTTTTCCCCCCCCATAAGTGAAGAAAAAGTAAAAAGTACATTTGCTCTGTACTATAAATGCATTTCAGTTAATGCATAATAATGATAACTATAAATGTACTATTAAAGCATTCAGTTAATGCAGTTAATTCATAATAATGAATTTCGATAAATTTAATAAACAAATATTCATTAAATTTACGCTCGGCAATTAACTGAAATATTTCGCCGCTTAATGTTTGAGCATCTGAATGAAACTTTGTGTTCTTAGCTCGTGTGTCGTAAAACTTCCCCCTTTTTTCGGCCCTTGAATTCATTCCATGGAGGTTCCTTTCTTACCTCCATGATTCATTCAAAGATCCCTAAGCGGAACGGGAAAGCTCTCCTTTCCAAATGTGGTGTCATAAATTCTTTGCGTTTCCTGTCCGGCATTTCGACATGTGGGTGGGGCAAAGTCCTTTCATGGCACAACTGCTCAACTTACGTCAATGATTTTGTGTCCTTAAGAAAGGAAAGAAAAGCACATATTCTGGAGTTAGCTGTTAGCAATTGATACTTGCGAATGAAATTCCCTCCTCCAGCTTATTAGTGAAAAAAATCGATCCGCCTTTAACTTTGCCATTTTGTAATACCAATCGTACTTCTAAATTCAAACTATTTCTGTCCCTTACCCTGCCTCCTGGTGCGACTGCACAGGTTGCAAGTACCATCGTTTATTACATTGTGAGAACTATACAAAAGGGAAAAAAATACAAGATAAAAATATACATAAATAATAATTTTTTTGAAACTCCAATTCCAAACTCATCAAGGTTAACGAATTAAAGCTTCTATATATATGTAATAGAATTCGTCTTTTAAGTTTAAACATGTAAATGTAGTTCAACAGGACATTTAAGGGCCCCATAAGCCTTCGGGCCCCTATGCGACGGCATTCCTTGCATACCCTTATTTACGCCACTGGTTTAGCCCTCTTGATATTTGAGAACGTATTGTAGTTTCAGCAGCTCGGCGTACTACATACGTACCCTTTTAAATAAAAACCAGTCTTAGTGCTAGGCATTTGTATACTAATTCAAAGTTAGCTTTTAGTTAGTAGTTTTATATTCTTACGTTCAGACCACAAGTGGTTGGTCTCTGTATTCCGATGTTCGGAAGTACCTATAAAATATTGAAAATAAAGGGTTTCGTATACCCTTCCTGCTTGTGTCATCTGTTATACACAAATCTTGAACATAGCTTGAGTAAGCGCCCTGTTCTTATTCAGGACACACCGTGTTCCCAAAGCAAATTAAGAGAAACACAAGTCCTGACAACCTGCGTTACTGCTTTTAAAGTTTTGGTAGATAATAAATTATTTACGTAGCTCTCACGTAGGATGCTCTTTTTTTTTTTTTTTTTTTTTTTTTAAAGCTCCAAATCTTTTTTCCGTTCTACTTAAAATTCTAATTTCTCTTTTTCTAGGTTTTAATGATAACGAAATCTTATACGATATGATTAAATAATGAACGATTGAGGAAAATATATTTTTATCATTGTTTTCTTACCCCGACGACGCACGTTCTAACGACTTCTCGTCTCAAACAGGGGGAGGGGGAAATCGTTGTTACGTGTGACTAACAATAGCAAAATTTCATTTACTATGTAGTTAGGAACTTTTTGTACCGATCATTGTAATAGAATGGCCATTATAACGAGGATTGATTGTATTAATATTTCCAGCTTGCCAGTCTTAGAATCCAGATAGACAAATATCCCCTTCCAAGGACCAAGGCGTTTGAATTACGGAGTACCTTTGCAATTAAATGCAATTACCTCCACATCTTCGTTCAGAAAATTGGAATGGATAAGAGAAAGCATTAGCTAAAGTTTGTGAAAGAAGCAGTTAAGCAAAAATCAAGAATCGTTAAGAGTCGTAATATCCCCTTCCTGCATTAAGAAAAGTAGTGGAATATCAGAGACCAAATGTTTGCATAGGAGAATTGGATATATTTACTGATGACTCATCGGATTATGACAATGGAACTGGTGCAGCAGATGTGGCTTATCTGTTTGGTACAGAAATAAACTATGGCACAATTAGACTTGAACCTTACAAATTCAGTTTTTCAGGTCGAACTGGTTGCTATTATATTTGCTCTTAAATGGGTTGATGAAAACCTGGCTGTAAAATCATAAATTAATGTATATACAGACTCATTATCTGGTTTGGAAGTACTAGCAGATGCTGATAACACTAATGTTGTGGCCTCACGTATAAAAGATCTCCTTGTAAAAGTTAAGAAAATACATGCAGTGAAAATTAATTGGGAGGCAACAAAAGGGCCGACCTGCTTGGCAAAAAGTACTGTTATGGGTAATGTCGGGGATGCGGTCTATATTCAGGCATCAAAAAGAATGGTTATTGGTAAAATTAGTGATTTTTTATATAATTGCTGGAAAGAGAAACATTTCGGGAAAAAAGAAAGATTATTTGTTGAACTTCGAAGTTTTAAAAATATGAGAATGATAAGCGATTAATGCGACAATCAAATAATTACTGGGCACGGGCGCTCCTCGGCGTACCTGAAAAGATTTAATTTTCAAAATAAATAGTTTTCGTAATTTTTGCAGTGCTGAATGCAATGCACGACACTTAGTCAAGACGGCGTATTATTGCGACATGTTAGAGAAAAACATGGTAACATAAAAGAATTCTATTGCCGCAGGAAAGAGTTTAGATTTTGCAAAGGATTTGATGAACGTCATGAATGGCAATCGAAACAATAGGAATTTTGAATGCATCATTTTAATAGTATTTGTGTTTTTAATTTGTGTTGGGTGTGCTGCGTTAACCATGAGGCCGATTATTATCGGCCAGGAGGGTTGCAGCACACTCGTGTATTACATTACATTACTACCTTCTAAAGAAGGTTAATGATTCAATAAAAGTTGAAGAAAAGTTACAGATTCAACATTCAACTATTTAGATAAACAATGAAGCAACTAATAAGAATTTTTTCTTAAATCGAATTGTTCATGTTAACGCAATATTTTAACAGCTTTAGAAGCTTTCCATACATAGCACAGCTTAGAATAAATTAGCATAGTTTTTAGTTCAATAATTTTCATGAATATTTAGAGAATTTAATTTTAAAATAAAGTGATTACATAATAAATGTTAAGCTGAAATCAAAGTATAATATTTTTAAATTTATGAAAATTTATAAATTTTCACTATAGTGACAAATGTTCTCAAAGAGAAATGTAAGTTCTGTAAACGAAATGGAAACTTTTTATTTCATTTCTGTAAATTATGATCATAAAACTTTTCTGAAAAGTTTTGCGAAATTTGTCTCGAGTAATAAAAGCTTTCACACATAATAACATTTTCATGAGGAAACACAGTCTTCCTCGATTCATAAGATAATCAAAATTCTTAAGTATATGCATTTTTTACGCCATTAGCTTTTAGATAACAAATGATAAAAAGCAAAATGTAATGTTTGTGGTAGTAATGTATATTGAATGCTACTCTGAAAATTATGCAATCTTTATAGAAACTTTTACTGATAATGCATTGTTATATTATCTCACGAGACAGAAGCGAACCAAGCGGTTGAACCCAGTAACTGCATAGTTATCTGGAAAGAGAGAACATAAACTTTCCCTAATTAAAAAACAGTAGTCAACCAGAACTGTTTATTACAATTAGCGCAAATAAATAATATATTCATCAATCTATTTTACTTAGAAGAAATAAATTTAAAAAATAAGGTGACATTTTAAATTTTGTTACATTATCCCATCTACTTATCTTTTTCTATTCATACAAATTACATGCTGGAATTTCTCCAAAATATCCACCCATAGTTTCAAAAAACTGTTTTGCACAGAAGTGAGGCCCAACAATGTCCGAGGGATTAAAATCGCTGAATACTGGTAGTTCGATTTGTCTTGGGCTCAAACCCAGGAGGAAGGGCTCCCCGCTTAATGTTTTGCTACATTTAAATTTGAGATCCGTCCATAGCAATTATTCAGCAGTGCAAAGTTAACGCCGCACGGACAATTTTCCTTCACTCCCCCCCTCCCCAAAGCTTTAATCTGCTTAATAAGGAGGCATTTCACAAACAAAAATTACAGTCTCATGGATTCCCCCAAGTCAAAAAGGTTCGAAAGCTGCTTTTCCTGAATCATGAATTTCCTCCATTCTCTTGTAACAAAAGAATTTGCAGCTCTGAAATTTTATATATGCACTTTTTAATAAAATGGAAATTATTTTATTTATTTATTTATTTATTTTTCAGGGATAATCTGGCGGAGCGCGCACTAAGAGCAGCAGTAAGTACCTTGTTCACGATATTTTATTTTCTGTAAACTAGAAATAGATAAGTCTAATATAAGTAAAAAAAGAAAATAATAACATTTATAATTAATATAAATTAATGACAAATATTTAGAAAAACATTTTGCTTTTTTGGTTCCTTTATTTTTGCGTATATTTAACTTTAGATTTTTGCTTCATTCCCCCCCCCCCTTAGATATGCTCAATATGCCGGATGCCAATCAACAATCGTCGATACATTGTATTTAATGGCGTGGTATGTTCTTTATTTTTATTCTTGTTATTAACGATTACATTGAATTAATATATATCTATGAAGTAAGAAATTTAGAACCAGTACTAGGAATTATTAGAAAATACTAGGCATGATTATATTATGTTTTGTTTTTAAATGTTTTGTAATATATATAAATAATGAATCAATTTCTTCTTTTCAAAGCAAACAAGACTAATGCTTATAAATTAGAAAATGTAAAACATGGACAAGGGTAGGCTCTCATCTAAAATTTTTTAAATTATAAAAAATATAATGCTTTAAAAATGAAAGAGCCGGGAACTGAAATTAATAACAATTAACAGAATTAAATGAAAGTGAATTAAATATTTGGAAAATTGAAAGAGAGAATGTGGAAAACGAATAAATTAGTTAATTAAATGAAGCCTGTTTTTTTTTTCCTCAGGGGTCAAGATTAGTCCTCCTTTATTTAAGAATTAAAACTTCTTAATCGGGCTATATTTTTGGCCGGAGACTAGAGAAATCCCATGAATTTAATATTGATTTGCATCTCTTGTTTATTGACTACAAAGTGGCGTATGATTCCACTGAGCGCAACGAATTATTAAGAGCAATGCATGATTTTGACGTACCCTTTAAACTGATAAAATTAGTAAATAACACTTTTGTGGTTTCCTCGTCGATAGAGGAGTTAGACAATGAGATGCCCTCTCATGCCTTTTATTTAAAATTGCGTTGGAGAAGGTCATCAGGAAGTCTGCTTAAACACCGAGGGGCAGTACTTTTAGAAAATCTGTTCAAGTGCTAAGCGTTTGCAGATGACACAACCCAGAAGGCCAGACGCATGTGATCTAATAGAAGCATTTAAACATTTGCGCGAACGGGCTGGCTGCATGGGTGTTTTCGTGGTTTTCCCCATGTGTAACGTGTATACGAGCCAGTTTCCCTTAGATAGTCGTCCACGAAGGCATCCCTTCCCTTAGGCAGATAGCCCTAGTGTGCTTTGCCATAATTAAATACACCACCACCACAATAGAAGCATTTGAAGTTATTGAGAGGGAGGCTAAATCAGTGGTCTTATTATTAACCGAGATAAAACTAAATATGTTATAGTTTTTGAACGAAAAACCAACTTTATTAGTCAAACTTACGGAATAACTGAAAAACATTTTTAGCGCGTGCATCTTCCAGCATGGATATTCTATGCGCGAGGCTTCTTTACATTTCTTACTGGTATTATGTTGGTAGCGTAGCAACGCAAATACGTTACAGTCTTAAATTCCTTCCCTCACAGGGAACTTTTCGAAGAAAAGTTTTTCTTTCAATTTAATGGAACTTTCAAGAAAAATTTTCAGTTTAAATACATTAAATTTTTTTACGAGACAAAGATGTTCAAGAATATCTGTAACAAATACAATAAGATACTTGACCAAATGAATACAAGCGCTTTGAAAGAAGCATTTTAAATAAGCATGTAAAATTTAATATTCTAATGTTAGAAAAATTTTAAAAATGAAGTTATATTCCTAGAATATATATTTTTAGTTGCGAGATGTTTTGGATATAACGACTTAAACTGTCAGCATTTTGATGGTGCTTCCTCCTTCTATGCACAACTTCATAGTTAAAAGGTTGTAAAATTAGTTAAAAGTTATAGTTAAAAGGCCCATCGTAATAGTCTAGGATTAGTCCCAGTGTTTTTATCCAACCATACTAAAGGATTATGATCAGTCTGAATGATGAACTTATGAGGTCCATCTAGGTAGAATTTTAACTTTTATACTGCAAAGACAATGGCAGCACACCCCCTTGTGATTGTACTGTACTTCTGTTCAGTAGATGAAAACTTTTTGCTAAGAAATATTATTGGATATTCTTCGTCTTTAGCATTTATCTGTGACAATATAATGCCAATACCAATATTCGAAGCGTCGCACTGAACGATAAATGGCTGAGAAAAGTTCGGACTGTATAAGACTGGATTTTTTGTTAACCGTTTCTTGAGTTCATCAAAAGCATTTTGGCAGTCATCAGTCCAATTTATGGTTGAGTTGCAACATTTTCCTTTTAACAAATCTGTTAGTGGTGCAGAAATCTCAGAAATATACCTTCCATAATACCCCGCAAGTCCTAAAAATGACCGGACCTGCGTTTTCGTGGTAGGTTTAGGGAAGTCCCTTATGGCTTGGATTTTTATTTCTGCTAGTCTTCTTTGACCTTGTCCTACTACATGCCCTGGATATTTGACGATCGTATGAGCAAACTGAAATTTCGATTTCGAAGGCTTAATATGCAGTTTAGCAATTTTAATCTTATCCAAAATAATTTCTAAGTGCTTCAAATGTTTTTCCCAGGTTTGCGAGAATACTGCGACATCGTGAATATAGGTTACAGCAAATTCTTCACAGTTTCTTGATAATCCTGCCATCAAACGGCTAAAATCATATGGTGTATTTTTTAGCTCGAATGGTAACCTTAAGGGTTTAAATGTTTCAAAACTTGTCACAAAAGCAGCAAAACCCAGGGATCTTTTAGTTCGTGAATAACCTCAAGTAAGATCTAGAACAGTATATCAGGCAGATGACACTTTTTCCACTAAATGTTCAATGTTTGGCAAGGGAAAACATTGTGTCCTAGTTGCCTTGTTCAAGCGATGCCTTGTTAATCAATACATAGTCTTGCCTCTTTTCTAGGAACTTCTACCAGTATGAGCGGAGAGGTAAAATCCGATTCACCTGGTTCTATTACTTTGAGTTTTATCTTTCCTGCTTCAGTTTTTAAAACATCTGTTTGTCGGGGAGACATCCGATAAGGTTTTGCGCATATCGGTCTTTCTGCTTCTAGTTTTATATCATGTTCAGTAAGGTCAGTACATCCTGGTTTATTAGAGATAATACAGAAATACTTGTATATGAACTGCTTTAAACCTTTCCGTTGGTCTTCAGATAATAGCGAATTCAAATGGATGCCTTGCAAAACTGAAGATATTTCAGTATCTGGGCTATAATTTAGATTCGGTACTTCATCTTCATAGCAGTTTATCCTGTCTTCTAAACACAGCATGTTTATATTTTCTGCTCGTTGAAAATACTGTTTCAGCATATTAATGTTTTTTTTTTTTTTTTTTTCCCACCCTCGAGAAACTCGACTACATAATTTGTATCTCTGATAATTGTTGAACTATTTTTCCAAGACCTACCCATTTAACTGATAGTTGATGATGGGTGTCAAAAAATATTGTTGCGGAAGAGATTTTATTTAAGTTCCTCGTATTGTTTTTTAAGTTAGTTCAGTTGCTTCGTTTTAAAAGAATAACCCACCAGAACGGTGAAATCGCTGAACGCATGTAGTTCGATCTGGTTTCAAATCCCACATAACGGGCATGCTGACGGGAGTTTGAGGATTTCCCAAATGTAGCATAAATGCAATTCAGTTTTCCTCAAGAAGTCATCCAGGAAAGCAACCACCCCATTGCTTTGTCAACTCTAAATAATATCCAGTTCTAATAAAACAAGATCTCAGAATGAGATTAACTTCAATACTGCCACTGAGTTATTTTTTGTAATTAACGCAAAAAGTCTTTTCGTCTCAAGAAAATGTAGTGCCTTAAAAATTTAGATCTCAAAGAACTAATCGTTCTATAAATACAAGGAAAAAAATGCTGATGGTTACACAAAGATAGTGTTAAAATATAATTACTTTGCACAAATTAATTAATATAGTTCATTTCTTGGGTAGCAGAAAAGTGCATTCAGCGTCTGAAAACTCGCCAAAGCCATGCTCATAAAAAGGTGTTATAATTTTTAGCTACTTATGATCCAATTTCAGTTAATCATTTAAATAAGTGCTTTGTTTCCAGAAATATGTCACCAACAATACATAAGACCTTGTGAAATTCTAATATTATTACTGAAAAGAAAAACTTCTAGAAAGATGTAAGAGAAGGTTTGCTGCAATTTTACTTGATGAAAGAACAAATAAAATACAGTTATCTACATTACTTAAGTATGTTGATTATGAAGGAAATTACCAAAAGCGAAATTTGCACTTTTTCTGATGTTAGTGTGGGTGGAACTATATTACGACCAAATCATCCTAGCATATAATTATAGTGGCAGAAAATTTAGAGTGCAAAAACACAAGGGATTTCTGACTGTTTACAGAAAAAATCATTCTAATAAATGTGAAACATGGTACTTACGTATTAATTAAAAGGTGGCTACCAAGGAACTACCATAGTTGGCAAAAATGCCGCCAAAGTTGCATCAATCGTTCCAACAGAATTCTCAGAAACTTAATCCTCTGTACTTAATAATAAACAATCAGTATTGAACCCGCTTCTTTATTGAGCTCCATGAAAAAAAGGCTTTCGTCGATTTCTACTTTTTTTTGTTACGCCCTCCAATTTAATCAGAAGCTCTATTAGGACGATATGAGTACAAACTTGCCACAGGTAACTGTTCTAATTTATAGCGGCTATATTCAGCTGACCATAACATGTCCATTAATACGCACTTTTTTTAATAGCAGGATCACATAAGTTTGAAATAAACCACTGCTTGCTGTTCTGTAGAACACAGGTCCTAATTTTTAATTTTTTTTTTTTTTCCTTCAAAATGCAAGAAAAAAGGGACAGCAATAACAGTTAATTTACATCCTTGTTCGTAAAAGCAAAACGTGGCTTATCAAGAATCCAATCGGAGTTACATCAAATGAAAGTCCAGGTGTTATGAGTGTGTCACGTCATGTTTACTTATTATTAACGATAAATCCCTTTCCTTCGCGACAAGGAATAATACGCAAGTATCTGAATGAATACTCATTTGAAACATTTCGCGAAAATTATACAAGTTCGATTTGGCTGTAAATCAACGCGTAAAATCATAGTATAAATATATTTTATAATAAATAATCAGGAATACATCAATGAAAATGATGAATTTATATATATATATTTTATGTAATTGAAAGATAGCTCGAATCAGAGATACGTTTATCTAGTGAGAAGTTAGTATTTTCTAATTTTTAAAAATAATAGTCTGCAAGATATTGAGTAAAGAAGTGAAGTTTTAAAATTTTATGAAAAAATAAGACATGATGATATCTTTTGAACATTTACTAACTATTAAGCACTCTTCAGATCTTCCCAAGAAATAGTATAATTCGTTGGTAACTTTTCTGCTTAAAAGGCGACACTTAGCGCCAAACATAAACATTGGTGAAAAATCTAAATAAATGGTGACAATCCGTAAAAATATTAACAATATTTTTACGGATTTTGTATTTATTTAGTTTGCTATTTTTAATAGAATTGTTATTAAAATGGTTTTATATCCTCGTGCAATGCAGCACGAGACTTATTTGAAGAGAAAGCTACACCGGAAAAATTAAATACAGGAGCACGCGTATTTAATAAATACATATCTCGTAATTGTACTCTTGCTATCCGGAGAAATCGAGAAAATACAAAAATATTCTCGTGTATTTAAAAAGCTTATAAAAGCTGAAGGAAAACATCTCAATTCAGTTGTAGTTTGGATAACAGTAGTTGTTTACTTACTGCTGTTATTGATTGTAGCAAATTCGCAGTAAGATCGGATTAGCTTTCTCTGTTTTGAATTAAGTTCTATTGAACATTTTAGTAGTTTAAAAGATAACTACTGTAAGATATTGCGATATTGTACAAATATCTCTGAAGAAATTTCAGCATTTTGTTTTATTTGTTGTGACAAGAATAAATTTTATTCACTTTTCATCGGACTTGTGCGTTCAATTCATTACGAACCCGTACGCACGCAACAATATGTAAATCTTCATGAAAAATAAACTATACTTGTAATAGCAGTAATGTATCATGAATATTTTTTAATGTGCATAATGCCGAAGCTTGTGCGATGCTGGATTTGTGTGCGTTAAAAACATTGCACAGATATTCATGCCACGATATAAACATCTGTTGCTTTGACGTACATTTTAGCAACTGAAGCGCCTTTAACAGAAAAAGAACTTTTTTTATGATATTCGACGAATTTTAGTCAACGCTTTAGAATAATGACTTTTAATGACAGGAATTTACAGTAAACTCCTGATTAACAGAGGTAATGCCGAGGACGACATTCACGTTATAACCCTTTGCACTCGAGACCTTTTTCCCTTGGCGAATCAGCAACTCGAGACGATTTTCCACATATTTAGTGAATTTCTTTTAGCTGATTTAAAGTTATTTCACACACAATTGAAATTTCACAATTCTTCGGTTTCTGTGCACGTTATCCATTCTGAATTTTTTCTCTTTTCTGCTGAATCACTGTCGCTTTCATTTTCACTATTCTATCACATCGAACTTTCACCTTCTTGCACTTTTTACTTCACCACTGCTTACCTTCTCTCTATCGTCAAGCATATACGCATATACGTAATTTCATTCTTCAACGAAAAATCAAATTCGTGTTCCCTTAAAGTGATTTCTTTGTCAGATTCCATTGCTTATTGGACTCCGTAACTTTGAAAATATTCATATTTGTTATGACTGTCGAGTTCGAACTAACGTCAAAGACGCATGTATAACAATAAATAAAATTAAAAAAAAAAAAAAAAATGTTTGAAAGTAAAGATTGGCAGTATTTTATACGCATGTATTATTAAATACAATCAGGAAGCCATATTGCCCAAACTACACCTAATTAATATCGTTACGGCTCGAATTATCGCATCATACCGAGTGGTGACAGAGAGTCACCTCTCGAGTGCAAAGGGTTAATCTGACAGCAGTTAAATAAACACACAGAAAAGAGGAATACCTCATATTATAATTAATATAAAAATACGGTTAGCGATTTCCCTGTATTTTAAGCAGTTTTAATATGGAGAATAGATTCTGTACTGTTCTGTTATTAGGACCGGATCTAGAAATGTACGTACCATGTATGAATGTATGTCCGGATGTATATGTCCATGTATGCAAATATATATATGTAAGCACGAATGTATGTGTGCGTATACATATACACGTATACATATATATATGCACATAATATACAAACACACGTACATACATTCATACATTTCTGAATCCGGTCCCGATAACAGAACAGTACCACAGATTCATTTGAATACATAAACTAAATCAGCATTCAAAAGAAGAACACAAATCGAAACAGAGCGAATAATGTTTTTATTTCTGTTGCAGGAAACTGAAGATCAATACTATACACCTAATTTACTATTACGATTTAGCATTTTACTTTCAATGCATAATTTAAAAATATTTACATATTCCAGATTATGTATTTAACTTTATCTCTTATTACTGCTATTATTCTTTGCATTTTCTCTTTTTATAATTACCTTCTCCTTTTAAATTTTGCTTTATTTTGATGCTTTGTGATAATAATTTTTCCAGCGTTCCGCAATAAATAAAGTTACTGTTTTTAGACAAGACCCAGTTAACTACCAGCTACTTGTATAATAATAGTTTCTAATTATTGTTTCTTTGTTCCAGTGGTATCATAGTGGATGTCTCTGCGCCCAATTTCCTCCACCGGGTAAGTAACTCTCATTCCCGAAGATTATTTGGAAATCACTTTGATATACTATTTAATCAGTTTATAAATTTTAAGGTTAATTTCATGCAAATCAACTTCAAAAATCCTGAAGAGTAACTAAACAGAAATTTCGAGTTAAGCCAGCTATAGTAGATTTATCTTGGTGCTGAATTGTTAATATCACATGTTGAATGCAGATTATTTTAAAATTGTCTAAGATTTTGTATGATACACATGAACTACCCTTCGCTTTCGAATTAAAGATGCACGAATAGATCCGATGAGCGTAAATTGTCCGCATTAGCGTAGATTGACTTGGTTGCAGGTCTGCCATGATAGCGAGCGCCGCTGTAATGTTCCGTTAACATTAAACAGTAGTTACATTCAGGTGCGGTATGTTAGGCCATCAGTACGAAGAAATTGTATAAAATTATTTTAGCATTTATTTAATTTGGCATGAGATATAAATTTGTAGGAACTGAAGCCAAACTCACTTCTGATGCCTTCGTGAAGGACGTTTTAAGGGTAACTGGCTCATCTTTACATTACACATCGGCTAATTCCCGAATACCCCACGCAACCAGCTCGTTCAACCTACAGGAACACGGTTTCAACGGTGTTATCCATTCAGTCGGCCATCGATTTGCCCAAGAATTACAGGGAAAAAAAAGGGTACTTTTCCGTTTCGCCGGCGCAAATCTCGCCAAGCAGACTTAACTGGCGACAACATACAGTATACACATAACAAATGTTAGTTCTAAGAATTTTTTATTTTGAAGGCATAAACATTATAATATCGTTTAAAATTTTATAAAAAAACATTAATTTAAGAATTTACTATGCTTTCATGTTTCAACATCCTGATTCGCCGGTTCATATCACGTGGCCCCAAGTGATCTCACTTAAACTACGCTACAAAAATCTAATTCTCTCAGTAATTATCTACATTAATTTCAATTTAAATCTTAATTTGGAATACAAGTCTAAATGCAAGAATTATTTCAATTCGTACGAATAGCTTACTCAGAAATTATGTAAAACCGCAGTGCTTTACTTCGCTAGTGCATTCGCATTAGAATTTATAAATTTAACCTTTGACTCTGCCTTTTTTATATTTTCGCCTTCAGGTGAGCGGTGTGATTGCATCCTAATTGACTTAATTACCGCGAATGGCCTTAGGGCATAAAACTGAACTTCTGGTAAAAATTCTATGTAATTGTATTCCAGTATTGAAAGAAACAATCGATCTGATAAGGTTACCAGCGAAGATATTCCGTTTGCGCCAGTTGTACAATTGTTGACGACTTTATCGCCTGCGCCGGCAAAACGGAAAAGTACCAAAAAAGTATCCAAACTTTTAAAACTGTTCTTTTTGAAGTTTTTTTTTTAATTAATTATGAATCTCCGTGGTTGGAAGATTCGCTGAAAACAATAAGTCTCAGTATTATTAGGAAGATGTTAAAAAATGAACGAGCAAACCGAGTAAAATGACACAAACAGTCATTGAATAATATTCAGTACAATGACTCAATAGACTAACATGATCGAGGGTACAGCACCACTGCAGAACGGTAGTTCGATATCCGCTAGCTACATGGGTGTTTTCCTGTTATCCTCCATGTATGTATTACGTGGATATGGGCCAGTTTTTCATAGAAAGCCCTCCATAATGGCATCTCTCCTTCGGCACTCGCTTACTTTGCTGTAATTAAATCAACCCACCAAAACCAGCATGATTCAGTTAGTTTAGGTTATTCTGAATTTAACAAATAAGCATAGGAGAGATAGCTGCCAAAGAAATTAACACTTTACCGACCGACCGCCTATTAATCGGCTTTTTATCTCCAACGCCTACCGACCGATAGCCTATTAATCGGCTTTTTTTCGCCAACGCCTACCAACCGATGGCCTATTAATCGTTTTTTTTCTCGAGGCTACCTGAAAATAGCCTATCAATCGGTAGCCATGGCGATAAACAACTGCTATTTGCTATTCATCTGCTTGCCAGATGTCCCGGTTTTTCAGACAAAATCCCGGTGTCCCGGTAAAAATTAAATTTGATTTTATAGATGACCAAAAAAGTCTAAAAATAATTAATTGCTAAGTATTATTTAGGATAATTACTATGTCAGTTATCTCTGTACTGTATGAAAGGTGAAAACTATGGAAGAGTGATGATCTTCCAATAAATAATATTGTCATCGTAGTGTCTTGTCTCGCCATGCGCTTTCCGGACTCGGCGACAGCCGCTTGCGATAGAGATAAGTCAGTCAGTTGTCAGTCCCTTTCGGTGGTATCTGTTGTGTTAGTGAGCTAGCGCTGTTTTATTTATGCTTTAAATTAAAGTTTATGCGTTCTCTGTTAAAATGACAAAACGGTCGTGTAAATTAACCTGGGATTTACAGAATAATTCCCTTTTATGAAGAAGGTATGTACTGGCAATAAAGATCAAGACGCTAGAGTTAAATGTTCACATTGTAATTCTGATTTTTCTGTTGCTCACGGTGGTTGATGCGATATAAAAGATCATTTGCAACCGAGTAAACACAAAAGCTGGTTTTGATAAGCTGGCATGTGCTGCTAGCTCATCAAAACTGACCAGTTTTTTAGGACTGCGAGTTCTAATGATAAAAACTTCAGCGAAAGAGGCGACACAGCAAACCATAGCCTAAGTTTCAATTCGAATTTTTGTTCATCAAATTTCTAAGTTTTTAAACCTAAATTATTTCTGGGAAAACTAAGTGTGAGGCAATAGTTTTAAATGCCATAGCTCCTTTTGCTAAAAAAATGGAGCTTAAAGAAGACTTGACCAAGTCAAACTACGTATCTAAGTATGGATGCATCAAACAGAAAGGATATAAAACTTGTGCCAATTGCGGTGCGCTACTTTAATCCTAATTTGGGTGTGTAAGTAAAGCTGTTAGATTTCAAATCTGTGGCGGGTGAAACATCTGAAATTCTTACAAATTACTTATGTCCTGCTGCAAAACGATTTGAACTACAAAGTAGTGGGCTTTTGTGGAGATAACTGCAACACTACTTCGGCCCAAGGCCCAAGGCGTTTTGCTTTCGGAGTACCTTTGCAAATAAATGCAATAACCTCCACAACTTCGTTAAGAAAATATTGAATAATTAAAAGTGAGCAGCTTGCACTCTTTAATAAGACCATCCTGGTAATGGGAAAAGACAACACTACAGCTTTTGAGGTTGCTGAAGCTCATAAAACTCTCAAAAGAAACCTGACAGAAAGAAAGGCTTCAAACTTCATCCCTATGGGCGCAAAGAATATCTACAACAATCTAGAGGAGCAAGTCCGTAACAATGTGAAAGAAGAATTTGATGGCTTTTATGAAAGATGCATTGCATACTTGGACCTCTGGGAGAATAGTTTTGGAAATGCTGAATAGTTTTCTTGGATCAATCTGACCAAAACAAATGCTGTTAATTGGAAAAACGCCGAACCTTCTGCTGAAATGATTAACAGCAATTTTCTTTATATACCCGATATGCAAATGAACACTGATCAGCTGTTTGGCAAAGTTGTGCTTGCTAAAGAGTATTTGCAGTGAAATAGGGAACAGTGGAAGCAAGAAAAGTCTACCAGAGATGTGATTACTTCAAGTGAAGAAAAATGGCTCAGGCTGTTTGATCCCTTCAAGGAGAATCACATAAAAGTCCCCAATCTAATCAAGATTGTTGAGTATGTCTTCTGCTTACCTGGGATATCAGCGCCAGTAGAGAGAGTATTTTCTTTGATGAAATGGACTAATGAGGGTTTGATGGGAAATCTACGGTTGGCTTATGACATTAAAATAATATCGGATTAGCTTGTGAAGATTTTAGCCAAAAAGTACAGTAATATTGTCAATGTTTATCCCATTTACAATCTTTTTCTTAAGTAACTTAAATATTAGATGTAAGAAATAATGTTAAATATATATCTTGTGTCATTTATTTTACCCTGTTTAGGTTCCTATTAAGTAACCATTTATTCATACCATTGAGAATAAACGATGACTTGTTGTACCTCTAAAGCACTTCAAAAATCCGCCAAGGGTGTACCCTTGAATACCGGCGACGCCGGGGCGCATTCCGGTGTCCCGGTTGAACATTTCTGAAATCTGGCAAGCCTAGTTATGAGGTACATTGCTCACTTGCGTTAAGTGCGTTGCTTCGTAAACTCCCACATTTTCACACCGTTTTTAAAAATATTACCGTTCACGATGAGCGAAAAAAATGGTACTGGAGAGTTTTATTTAAACGATTTATCAGATTGTCCTGACAGTTATTCAGAACTGGGAGAATTTGCGGCTGAGCGGCCGGTCGGACGTGCGTTATGCTGTTGAACCGCTAGCGGTCGGTAAAGTGTTAAGAACAAAATTCTGAAAACAATATATTTATACAAAAATTCAATCATGGATTGGCATACATTCTGAATAAACTCACTTCAGAGTTTTATTCATTAACTCCCCCCCCCATTTTTAAACTTTACATTGGCATGCTTCTCTTTCAGTCTCAATTCTACAAATAATATTGTAAAAAGCATATAAATAATGATAACGAACAGTCGATGAGTAGAAAACCATTAGATTTGATAAGTTAAACTGAACTGTGAAATATTTATTACTAGATATGATGGTACTCTTCTGTTATCGGGGCTAGCTTCAGGAACGTATTGTATATATGAATGTATGTGTCAGTGTATGCCCCTACGTGCGTAGGTGAGCGTACATGCACACATGTGCATTCATATTTACATTTTTGAATCTGGTTCCGATAACAGAAGATTGAATTATTATGATTAAAGAAAAGTAAGTAAACCTCCTCAAATTTAGTATTCTAGACATTGCATGAAACATACAGAGCTGGTGTACAACATAGGCTGGTGAATTCACCATAAATCACTACCTAAAGTGGCAGCAGATTAAAAGTAGATAGAGTTTTAAAATAAATGGAAAAGGTTTTACCTTAATTCAGCGTTCCAGCTCCGAGCCGCTGTGTCGCTTTTGATGATCTTCGCAGTTTCAGAAATCAATACACTTCAGTGAATCAGACACAAGGGTGCGCTGTGAAAGAAGCATTTATTCACTATCGATTCTCAAGAAAGCTTAAGAATGAAAGAATAACTTTTAACTTAGTACTAACGATTAATTAGGCATTGTTGCCGGAATAATCCAGAATACTATCAGTTTGGCGGGAAAATTCCAGCATTAATTAAATTTGACCGAGTCATGCTCTCTCTTTTTTATCTTTATCCTCGCCAAATGACGTAGTGGGATTTGCAGCTGCAACAAATCGAAAATGCGCATCGTATATTCCGCAGTCTTGTTTTCGACAGCGATGTTTTATCGCATTTCAGTAGTATTTTGCGCAAATGTTTTTATGTTTTACCTAAGAACTAAAAGAAAGCTTTTGAAATAGAATGTTAGTTTTAGAAAATAGATAATAATTTAAAGAACTACTGATGCAGGATATCTTTCATAACAAATATTAAAAGCTGTAACATCTAATCATTGCCGACCAGACGGTATAATGGTCAGGAAAACCGACTGCGATACCAAAGGGTCCGTACTCGAATCACGAAGAGCGCATGGTTGTAACTGTCCGTCCCGTCATATAGGAGGCAAATGTGGCCCACCTTTAGGTGCCAAAATAAAGTGATCGAATTCGGTTGAGGGCCCGCCACTGGGGGTGGGGAAAATAACATCTAATCAGATGGTTTAGAGTTTATTGCTTATATTGAGACATTTACGAATTAACCTTTAGAACTGCACCATTATGCTATTATTTTTTTAGTTATATTTCAGAATTCTGTTGTTACGTACTATCATATATCTTACAATTTTTTTTTTCTTCCCTATAGATGATAAGGAAGAAATGAGGAAAAGATAAGTCAAGGTACTTTTCTAATAGATAATAGTTCTACTTATTTTAGTGAATGTGGGAAAAAAAAAAAAAAAAAAAATAGTAGTTTTTTAATGTAGAACAATATTTAAAAAGAAGTGTACTACAGCGAAGGTAAAATTTAGTGTTCCTCTGCTTGTTAATTTATAGTAATGAAGTAATAGTCTGTTTAGTAATAAAGTAAAGGGTGCATCTCATCTGAACTTTTTTTGGGGGAAAGTCGCTGAACACTGGTAGTTCGGTCCGAGGTTCGAATCCCGTGAACGGGCTGGCTGCATGGGCGTTTTCGTGGTTTTCCCCATGTGTAACGTGTATACGAGCCAGTTTCCCTTAGAAAGTCCTCCACGAAGGCATCCCTCCCCTTAGGCAGATAGCCCTCGAGGCTTTGCCATAATCACACACACACACATCTGAACTTTTGAGGGATTCTTGTCTTAAAACACAGACTATGTTTACTATTTTTAAAAAATTAACTAATAATTTGGGTGCCCTTTGGAGTGCGGATCCGTCGATATTGCCCTGTGGCCGACACCAGAAATGCGCCTCTGTTATTTATCTGAATACTTTTTTTAGTATTTATCTGAATACTTTTTTTAGTGTGTATAGTATTTGATAAGCATACTTGCACAAGAGATTTGCTTTATAATTAAGTTATAATATACCGGGTGATCAAAAAGTCAGTATAAATTTGAAAACTTAATAAATCACGGAATAATGTAGATACAGAGGTAAAAATTGACACACATACTTAGAATGACACGGGGTTTTATAAGAAAAGCAATAATCTTATCAGAAAAGCAATAATTAGCATAACAAATTAAGACAAAGCAAAGATGATGTTCTTTACAGGAAATCAGAGTCGTAGCTAGGGTTTTCAGCGCCCAGGGACAACTGAAGATTTCGTGCCCCCTAGTGCTTGCCAAGGATGGAAAACATTTAATTCTAAAATGTCGTAACATCAGTTTGGCGCCCCTTGGATTCTGCGCCCGGGGACAGATGCCCCCCTTTCCCCCCTCTAGCTACGCCCCTGCAGGAAATGCTCAATATGTTCACCATCATTCCTCAACAATAGCTGTAGTCGAGGAATAATGTTGTGAACAGCACTGTAAAGCATGTCCGAAGTTATGGTGAGGCATTGGCGTCGGATGTTGTCTTTCAGCATCCCTAGAGATGTCGGTCGATCACGATACACTTGCGACTTCAGGTAACCCCAAAGCCAATAATCGCATGGACTGAGGTCTGGAAACCTGGGAGGCCTAGCATGACGAAAGTGGCGGCTGAGCACACGATCATCACCAAACGACGCGCGCAAGACATCTTTCACGCGTCTAGCAATATGGGGTGGAGCTCCATCCTGCATAAAATTCGTACGTTCCAGCAGGTGTTTATCAGCCAGGCTGGGGACGATGGGATTCTGTAACATATCGGCGTACCTCTCACCCGTCACGGTAGCAGTTACAAAACCAGAATCACGCATTTCCTCGAAGAAAAAAGGCCCGATAACAGTGGGCATTTTTTTTAACTTTTTTTTTTTTTTTTTGGTTCTAATAAAACCCCATGTCATTCTAAGTATGTGTGTCAATTTTTACTTCTCTATCTATATTATTCCGTGATTTATTAAGTTTTCAAATTTATACTAACTTTTTGATCACCCGGTATATTATAGTATGGATGAGGTAATGCAAACAGATATTTTGCTCAAGGTTTAAGAATATTAGTTGTAAAATTACGTGTTATAATATTATTCAGACTTATATAACTGCAAAATGAAACAAGTAATATAAACTCAGTAATGAAGATAACTCTTATAGGTTTTTAACTGCTTTAAAAATGATGGTGATTTTATAGGTTTTTAAACTCATAATGAAGAATAAACTCTATAGGTTTTTAACTGCTTTAAAAATAATGGTGATTTATAGGTTTTTAAACTCAATATGAAGAATAACTCTTTATAGGTTTTTTAACTGCTTTTAAAATTGATTTTAATTTGATTAAAAGCTAAAGAAGGTTTCCTAAATTTTTTAACCTGCAAAATTACGTGTTATAATATTATTCAGACTTATATAACTGCAAAATGAAACAAGTAATATAAACTCAGTAATGAAGAATAAACTCTTATAGGTTTTTAACTGCTTTAAAAAATGATGGTGATTTTATAAGTTTTATAAACTCAATAATGAAGAATAAACTCTTATAGGTTTATAACTGCTTTAAAAAATGATGGTGATTTTATAGGTTTTATAAACTCAATAATGAAGAATAAACTCTTATAGGTTTTTAACTGCTTTAAAAAATGATTGTGATTTTATAGGAGTAAAAGCAGTAAAGTCTAAAAGGTTTGCTTTATTCCTTAACTCACTAGGGCAGGGAGGCTAGAGGGGGAAAACTACGAAGTCACTCATGCAACCAACCCGTTCGCCTGGAACTGAACCCAGGTCGAACTGCCAGTGTTCAAAGGCGTTGCCGCTGATTTGATGTAAAATCTATATTTTTTTTTTTTAGAGTTTGTTGCTTTATTCTTTAAACACTGAACTTCATTTTATTAACTCCGATCCTTTAAGAATCAGAATTTAAACTTTTACCTATTTTTTTAGGGGAAAGGCGGAGTTGTTATTTTTGATTCCTCATATGTTTCATTGAAAATGACTAACTGCTTAAGTTATATTACTCAGATAAGAAAGTTACTTGATTTTTATTCTGTTATTTTCTTCATTTCTTTGAAAATGTGTGTAGATTTTTAGTCCAAAGGGGCAAGTTGCTCAGAAGGACTATTACTTTCGTTTTGGTATTTTGCGTTAATTCAGTATAAATGTTGATTCACTTTTTAAATTGGTACCACCAAATATTATAGCCCTGTATTGTATTTAAAGGAATTAAATAATGAAGTATCTGCATAAATGTATGTATGTTTCTCGCATTGTGATAAAACAACGGTACCTAGAACCATCAAATTTTGAATAACGTACGTTTCCACCCGAATATGGACATCTGAAAGCCCAAATTTGGAATTTGTTTTATTATTTATTTCATGTTTTGTAAAACGTAGCGAATTTTTCATTAACTAACTCAACGATTTCAAAGTGAGCAATGGCATCACTGTACGGGAAAAAAAAAAAAAAAAAAAAATAAAACCATTTGCATCTCCAGCGCGAGACTGTGCATCAGAAGTTCTAAAGATATGCTCATTTTAAAGTTATTTTGCGATATTGCTGTTGAACTGAATTTTATGGTTTAAGTGCGAAGAACATGATATTTTATAAATAAAGGTAACACACAAAACGTTATAAAAACGTCCGTTTGGGCGTAATGTAAAATCGGAAAGCTTTTAGATTTTTTTTTTAAATGTAATTTTTTTTAATGCGAATCTTATTTTGTAATTAGGTATTATATGTAGTTTTGCTGAGGTACTAACTGTCTTCATAATGATTACATTATCTTATATCTCATTTCACAGCTTGTAACGGTGGAATATTAAGAAAGTAAGGTAACTAATTGCAGAATCTCTGAGCCTGATTCGGCACCGCAAGTTTAGATTTATATTCTTCCTCCTATTAAATACTGAGATTTGAGATTACAGAGATATGCTTTCTGCGCAATTGCCTTTGAAAGCAGTAAAAATGCAACTGTATGGAGACTGAAGATAAATTTGTAAATACTGTAAATAACATTTAGGTATACTACGCGAAATTTGCTAAAAATTGCTGTTTTTAAGGAGTAAAACATAGTCTTTTTTTTTTAATTTTTGTTTTGTTTTGTTGTTGTTTAGTCTAAAAAAAGTACATCGCATTAAAAATACATACATTGTCTAGTCTTAAAAGATACCAAACTTGAATCCAGTTTTGAAAGTAGTAAATAGCAATATATTAAGATTATTAGTCTATCTGGTGCTTTACGCAATGCATTCCTTAAAGAGCCCCAAATGCTCAGTTCTCTTTTCCTGCGAGGATTTATTTGATTATGGCAAAGCATTCGAGGGCTATCTAATTAAGGGAAGGGATGCCTTCGTGAAGGACTTCCTAAGGGAAACTGATGCCTATACATATTACACATGACACATGGGGAAAACCACGAAAACGGCCATACAACCAGCCCGTTCGCCTGAGTTCTAACCCCGGACCTAACTACCAGTGTTCAGTGACTTTACCGCTCGTGGGCTGCTTTTTCTACAAGGGAAAACAAGAATTATAAATTGTAGGGTGATTTGATGACAATATGAGGTCCTGGGCTCGGCCTAGGGGACTTAAATGGTAACTACGCCCAGACATCGTAAATGTAGTTCGTGAAAGTATACATTTCAGATTTATTCATGAATGTTTATTGATTTGTATAGTGATAATGCTTTTCTTCTTTTAGTTTCACTGCCATAAATCCCAAAAGGACCTTGATGCTTTTACTCAAAGTGTTACCTCAACATATTCATGTATTCACATAATTTCTTTTGTAAAATCTTTAAGTTTAAAGGGAAATAAAAGTTTTCATCGAATTGGTCTGATTTCTTTTCCTTTTCCCATCATTTTTGTTATATCATTTGTACTTATAGTTCAATATTAGTGTTTTGATTGCAGATTAGGTTATTACATTTTTTAATGTATTTGATGACTTTACTAACATGTAACTTTTGTTTGCGCTAAACGCGTTAAGACTGCGTAAAAAAATAACGTTTACTTTTTATTTTATATTATTATTTATATTGTAATAAGTTGACCTCTAATTACCAATGTAATAAGTAAACAGGCAAATAATTGCTATTCTGCGACAAAATACCATGCCGACGGTACATTTAGAAATGGTAATTGCTATTCGAACAGCAGTAAAGAAAATGTATTATCCAGACAACTACCTTGATGATATGCCTGAAATTTTATTCAATAGCAGAAAAATATGTATATTTGTTAACCTGCAATGAAGAAAACAAAAATGATCCAATTTGTATCTAACAATGAATTAAATAATGTAGGATTACATCTGACCTGCGTTAGTTGTGTGGAAAAACTGAACCATTATTTTTCATGAAAACATAATAAGCTGACAACTTCTACTGAAATAATTGTAGTATCATGAATAGCAAAGTCTTTGCAGCGCATGCTTGATTTATTTTTTCCAGATGTGCGCATATAGATTAAGTATACAGAAATATTAGAACTGTCTTTTATTTTTTCTTTCCAAATTACTGCCCCATTTTTTTATTCGAATCAAAAACTTTTCATATTACTTATCAAGACCATTATGTTTCTTCTTCTGCTTTCCATTTTCAACTTATTAATATTTCCATTCCTATTAATATCATTTGGGAGTTATTACCGTAAGTGTGCGTGTTTTCGGATGGGAAGGTGCGGATATCAGGGGGAAAAAATGCTTCGTTTTCCACTTGTGACACGGGAGGGGGGGGGGTGAAGCAGTTGCTCAGCACATTGTACAAAACTTTAAAATTTGCGTTTGAGTTATCGAGTAGGAGTAGAGGCTCCTTCTTATGGTTTGAGCAGTGACCAAGAACTATTATTTATTAATGTTTATGCAGAGCCACATTCATTAAAAAAAATTTTTTTTTTAAATTTACTTCAAATATTTCTTTTCATTATAAACTATTTTACTACTTAAAAATTATGTAAATATATAGTTTCGGTTATTGAATGCTGATTTTTAACTTGCGGCTTATTAGTGTCACAAAGTTTGGCCACCCGCGTTACAGTCCAGGGCGACACAAAGCGCTTACCTGTAAACATTCAATGAAATCCGAAAAAAATTTTAATTTATTATTTTTGCATTAGTGCAGTCTTGACTTCAGCAGTTTCGATTCTCCTTACAAACCAAATATATTGTTATTTAAAAATCCAAATACATCTTTATTTAGTTTATTACAAATACAACATTTACAGTCAGTTAGAAATAAAGGGAGGAGAAATGAGGGGAAAACACTTATTTTAATAGAAAACAGAATTTCTAATAAATTGGCAAAGCCCTTCCTAGATATTGTCTCACCTCAGATAAACAGGTAAATACTCTTCTATGTATTATAATCAGATTAACTAATAGATTTAAATATTCAGCAAATAACAAAAGTAACAATAAATCGCATCATAACTCTTATGGCATTTTGTAATCATAACTATATAATTTCAGAATACGTGTAATAATCTATAACTTTTAATGAAGACGTTAAAATCGTGTTTTTGATAGATAAGAAAATCACTGAATTTATATAAAGAGCATTATTGTAGAGACATTAGGTATTTTTTGAAAGCAGGAGAGATGAAAAATGAGCAATGCTCTCACCGGGACTCGAACCACGGCCCTCCCGAGCGTGCTTGACCATTACACCACGAAGGCATGCTAAGAGGCGGAAGAAATACCTTATATACTCCTCCCCCCTTTTAAAGGGCGATTGAGGATTAGGGAACCTAATCGCCAAATCCTAGTGGTAGAGAATCTTCATCCACCACCTTTTTTTAGTTCGGGCGCCACTGTAGAGTTATTAGGTTATTTAGCGACAGGCGATGTGAAAAATGTAAAGCCATTTAGTTTGCGAAAGAAACTGGAAATCGTGCTGCAGTAAGGATGTTTTGTGTTGGTGGAAGAGAGAATGGATCATGACTTAACGATCCCTCAATTACAACAAAAGGTTTCCTTGATTATGAAGAAACTTTTCGCATATAAAAGAGAAGACATATGTCAAGATGTTATCACATCTGTATAAATACCCCTTATTCCATAACTTGCAAGAATAATGCAAGATTTCAGAAATATTGCAAATGTCTGGAAACAGGCTAAATATAGTATGAATAGTTTTTACAAAATAATTACATTAAGAATTTGGACTGTATTAGGAGATGAGGGGGAAAAATCTTGTAATAATTAATTAATTAATTAAAGAATAATATACGACTCTATTAGATATATTAGTGTAAATGTAAGTATTATGTAATTTTCTAATGTATATTTTTTGTGTTTATGATACATTAATTTACAAAAATAATAATGTAAGACCTCAGTGCTGATGCAGTTGTGTTTAACAAGTTAAAAAATGAAGGGAAATGTATTAATAAGATAATCCGCCTTAGTAATTCAACTATGTATATAAAGATGCACAAAAAAAAAAAAAAAAAAAAAAAAAAAAAAAAAAAAAAATTCTTCCCCAATTAGTTCCTTAAAAAGATGTTAATTGTCATTTGATGTAACTAGATATACTAATGTAAATATATTGTTTGTATGAAGTACAATGTACAATGAAAGTTTGTATGTATGTTCGAAGTAATTATGTTATATTAATCTGCCATAATCCAACTTTTGTTAATAGGTCAATTTCTTTGTAATAATTGTATACCGTGTCTTTGTAATTGTATATTCAATACGTAAGTCTAGTATTAATGTAAAATTACTATGTAAATGTCTTGGTAGACTAGCATCCGTTGCGGGCCAACTAAAAGCCCAGCTGGGTACAGTATTGCGGCGGAGCAACACCTGTAAAAGTCACTGACGAAGTTCTGGTGCTCCGTCCACTTTTCCCTGTCCCTGTTTATGAATCAGAGTGACAATAATAGTGAAGTTGAAACAGAATTAGATGATGTGCCTGAAGATATAACGGTAGATAAACATGACGTCATATTATCCGATAATGAAAATTTTAATTTCGTAAGGTATGTCATTTTTTAAAAATAAACAGCGTTTAGAAACATGTAAAAATATAATTTTCTATGCTGATTTGTCCTTATTTGTAATCTATCATTTTTATATTCGGTGTATAACGTGCACCTGTAATTTTGTATCTTATTTTTTGCATTAAAAGTGCGCGTCATACGCCGGAATACTGCATATTAAACTGATTTCGTTAGCTTGTAGAAAATAATTATAATGAAACCTCTCATGTGTTATTTATACTGCTATTTGTGTTACACAGACACAGTACTTAATTACTTAATAATAATATTTATTAAATAACATAATTCATTAGTAGCCACGACACATTGGCCTTCATCCACGCAGCACATGGACTACAACTACTGCATATATACAATTATAGTTACAACCCAGTTAATTGTATTTTAATCTAGTATATGACACCACATACAGATGCTAATATCTTATGCTTTGTCAACAAATTGGCCAACTGTTGAGAAAAAATTTAATATTTCAAATACTACATCGCATCTCGGAATGCGATAATTCGTAAACATATCTATAACATCATCAAATTTGCTTATATCTTCCTCTGATTTCAATATATCCATACCTTCATCACCTTAACAAAATGGCTATCTTTATCGTATTCGGCTTGGTGTCTTCTGTTGTAATCAGATAGTTTTTAAGTATTTGTTCTCATTTTTTCCATGTTTCAGCTATGTTGCTGCATGTAAATTTGATTTCACTTAGAGGCCGAAATACTTTCATTAGTAAAAATCCCATGATGCAAATTAATGCTCAATTAATAACACGGGAAAATTAACCACACAGGCACAATAATTAATTACTAAATAATAATATTTACTTGATCACGCAATTACTCAACAGGCATGACACATTACCCTTCAGCCACACTGAATATGGCACAGTGCCCAATGCACAACAGAAACAACCGCTTTGTAGATAGTTACAATACAGTTAATTATACTAATTTAATTTATATTATAATCGCCTTTCTAAGACGATCACTGCCACAAAGCTTCGTAATCATGCTGAACGGTGGGCATGCCTTTAGAGAGGGTCAACTATACTTTCAACAGTTTTAACTACATACTCACAAACCTTCAACAGTTTTAATTACGTGCGTACGGGTTCATGATAGACTGGATGCAGACATGTCCGATGATAGGCTGATAAAATTAATTTTATCAAAGGAAATCTTCAAAGTTCTGGAACTTTCCACAAAAGTAGTTGTATAACTCTTCATAGCATCACAGAGTACAATCAGTAGTTACAGTTCAAACTATAAGGAACGTTAAACACAACGCAAAGCATAGCTAAAGTGCTAAGCTAACCTGGAGATGCAAAGCATAGCTAAAGTGCAAAGCATAGCTAAAGTGCTAAGCTAACCTGGAGATTCTCAGTACTCCGAACTCATTCTGAACTAGCAGCTAACAAGTGAGAGCAGATACTTACTCTCTTCGGCATTATAGAGTTTTCACTCGGCCGCTGAGAAATGTCTAGTATTTCTCGAAACTATAGAAGGCATATGAGGGCTGGATACGGTTACAGTTGCATATGAAGTCAATTACAGTTATTCAGTTATAATATCTATTACGGTGAGGCGTGACCTATATTATGACTATAGGACCAACTTGTTTGGTCAGGCGGGTCGGGCTGCTCCCACTTCTGGTATCGATTACGGTGATAGAGGGACTTTGGGGACATTTTTGGTCGACTCTTTTGGCGATTTCTCGCCGAATTTGGCGACAAAAATTAGTCTCCAAAACGGTTGCCAGCTTGGCGATATCTAGCTAAATAGCTCAATGATCAATAGAACTGCCCCTGTATTCTTATTTTTCCATC